CTGTATTTAAAGTTGAGTACCCTCCTTTCTTATATACTTTAATGTGATCTAATTGAAATGTCCTTTGTCTACTTCTCCTGCTTCAAGCACACTCCCATGGCCTGTCAACATAACTCTCTCTAATCTGAAATGCCAGGGATTAAACAGGCAGCCAACTCTCCATCCATAAATCTACCATCCCCTACTCCTCTCTCTCTCTCTCTCTCACACGCACACACACACATATTTTCTGTTTATGTTACCCCCCTCTCACCACGAGTGATCTCTTGAAACTGGACCAACTTAATCTAATCCATCCCACCTACCATCTCCTCTCCGCCTCTCTGCTTAAGGTCTCCAAATGACTGGCCTGGCAGAACTGCGTGTGTTTGTGTTTGGACTTGTGCTTCCAGCTATGTGAGGACCAGCTTGACTATTTGAACTTACAGATTGAGGACAGTTTGGCAAAGGGAGGACATTTTGGCCAGTTGTCACTTTCCGACATGACTTCAAATGGACTGTTTCCACTGGAGACACAACTGTTTGTGTGTGTGTGCGTGCGTGTGTGTAGTATGTGTTTTGCATGAGTGAGAGAGAGAGGCAGAGGGAGAGAAAAGGGGAGAGAAAAAATGGTTGAGTCATGCAATCAGATTCTGGCAGCAGCAGGTTGTTTCAGTGCAGATATGAACCGACTCTCCCACCCCACCCCGCCCCGCCAATCCCCTGCACCCTGCCGCTGTTTTCCCTAATATCCCACTACAAGTCTCAAAGCTCATCATGACAGCCTCCGGCGATCCATAGGAGTTCAGGATTGGATGCAAAATCATATGCGCATACCTTGCCTCTCACTGGACCAGTAGGATCTTGGATTGTAGCACATGCACTGAGAGGAGACGGTTTCCGTAGTAGTGGTGTCAAGTGGAGTCGTTTGCCTCTGCCTCACTGGGTGTGAAAGGCTGATGAGGTGCAAAGGTAGAGTGAAGATTGGACTTTCATGTGAGATTTGAACGTGAAGGGAAGTGTGGGGACAAACAAGGAGCAAAGGGAGGGGGGGAGACAGTGAGAGAGACGGGGCAGGGTGATGGGAAACATCAACAAATCGTCTAAAAAGAACAGTAAAATGAAAAAGGTAAGACATTATTCAACTGATTTTAGCTGCAGAAATAGTTCAAGTTTGTTTGAATTGATTAAGATATTGAAGTTGTGTCCTGTTGATGTCATTACCTCAGCTCTGAACATTTGATATGAAAGTTAGTCATGTGGACACAGCAGCCTGTCGAATGGATTGTGTTTCTAATGTAGATTATACAGTTAATAACTCTATACTTTAATCTGGCTGCAGAGCTTGAGGTGTGAATGATACATTTAACTGCAGTCAGTGGATTAAGTAGTAACTTTATGTGGTTCCCCTCCTCTAAGGGGGTGTCACCCATGGAAAGAAGTGGCTCCCCATTGGCTGCCGCCATGCTGGGGGACCTGGGTGGTGCCGATGAGGTGGACACAGAGGACGAGGATGAAGGAGGGAGCGAGCGGGAGTTTAATGAGCCCCTGTGCGCTCTGGTTAAGAACTGCAACGTGCTGCACAACATAGTGGGGCCTGCTTGTATCTTCCTCAGACAGGGCTTCGCACAGAGCCAGCTTGTATGTATGACAAACACACACACCCACACACACACACACCCCACAGAGTCTTCCTGGCAAAAATCTCCCATAGATCTGTTTTTATTCATCCATTTTAATCATGCCCTGATTGTCCTAAGGAAGGTCAAGTTCAGGTCATCCATCAGTTCAATAGGAGGTGATCATTCTTCCCTTCCCATCTCCACCAATCAGTGTTTCTCTCTGTGAATACACCCACCTCTGCCCTCCAGCCCTGTCATTCCAGCACATCACCATATTTAACATCCATAACGGCAGTACACGATCATAGTTGTAAAATCATTTTTGAAAGAAAGAAGGAAAGAAAGAAAACAAAGAAGAAGAGAGAAAGAAAGAAGGATCACCTTCTCATAACATTTCTCCATGAGTCCTGAGCTGTACTGAAAATAGTTGGTGATATAAAAGATTTCTCTCTAATGACTGAGTGACTGACCTCACAGTTTGTATAGATTGTAATAAAGATCATAAATCCAACCTAACAGCAGTGCTGGAGATATCACGTGCGCCTCTTATTCCACATTAATGAGTCATGCAGAGAAGTCAGAGAGCGATAACAGAGTGATTTCCTGACTGAGCTGCTCACAGGGCTAATTGAAGATAGCCATTAAGATGGTGGTGTAGTCACTGATCACAGGTCGTTTACTGAGCTAGTTTAAGAAGTCCTTGAGCTGAGTCCAGAGGAGAAATGAACATGAATTTATGACATATCTACAATTGACCATTGTTAAATGAATAAAAAAAAACATTTAATGAAGCAGTCTATTGGTCTTGGTCAGTGTGTTTTTTTTTTGCTGATGCTATTTTTAGGGAAATTGTTTCTTGCAGAGAGAATTCATGTCTGTGTGATAAATATGACGACCAGAGGTAGGTTAGCTTAACTTTCAGAATTTCAGAATTCTGTCGAGAAAGTCTGATGGATATTTTTTCCAAATACAATTTTCACATGGTCCTAATCCTCTTCCACAGTTTAAGCAAACAAGATATAATTATAAATGAGATTTAGAAGTACTGGTAAAATTGGCTTTTTCTATAAACCATTCTTAATATCTGTCGCAGGGATGGATTACCCACAAAGTCAGAGCAACGATTTACAGCAGTCAGGGTATTATCTCAGGTGGGATGTTCCATTTGCCCACAAGAGGAGAGGGAAGAGTAGATTTCAAGCAAACACGTTGTCAGAACACGGTCATGTGTTTTGGGGGCGTAGCTTTGATGGGAGGGCTGATGGGAGGGGGCAGGATCTATCGTTTGTAATTTGTGTATTGTAAGTGTAACCTGCTCGTATTAGCTTTCCCAGTATTACCAAGCCTAGCTTTAAGAAGCTTGCTAGAGACACTATGCATTCATGGATTGTTTTCACTTTACTGGCAATTATAAATGTTAGCATATGTGACATCCAGCAAAATAATGGTCCATGTGTGTTTGTTGCATGTTCAGCCTGTGCAGGTGTGCTAATGTTAGTTTCAACAAGTGCACGTCAGACTGTTTGTGGTTGCAGATGTAGATGAAAAAAAGTCAGCAGTAGATAGGGAAATGAAATAGTGATGAGCCTCAGTGAATTATAATACAATTTGCCGCTGTAATCTCCCTGCCACTGTTCTCTCCCTCACATCCTTTAATCCAGGCCTGTATTATTCCTGATGCTGATGTCACAGCATTGCAGAACATGCCGTGAACATACTTATCCTGGTTTCACCTTTTGTTGATGCCAACACATTGTGAAGCCAATTCAACTTCAACCAGGGGTTTTGGCTGAAAGTGTTTTCTCTTTTAACTCCCTCTGTACAATTTGATTTTATGAGTATACTGATGTTGCTATCTCAAATTTGCCAACATATAAATCATCGTCAGCTTTGTTTCCGTGCATGTGTGTGTGTGTGTGTGCCTTATTTCTGTGTTTGAAAAGCAGAGAAAAAGGCTAAAAGGAGCCTCTCTGTATTGTCATCACCCATCTGCAAGATTTTGCGTTACACATATCGTATGCTCAGCAGACTCTCAAAGCTTCTCCAGAATGAGATTGGACACGAGACTGTGTAACAGGTCTAGAATGATATTAGGGTCAGTCAGATCAAAAACCATATAATCCTGTAATAGAATCTCTGCTTGGGCAGACGAACACGGAATACAACAAATGCTTCACAGAAAAGGAGTGAAGGAAACACTTTAAGCTGATCTAAAAATGTTTCCATCATGATTTGTGATTGTGGCTGAGTGTATGAAATATTTATTGTGAGATCAAACTGTTTGTGTGTAACCTGCCTGACAGGTTGTGCGTTTCTCTCCATGTATGTTGTGTCTCTCCTCACCATCGCAGGACAGAGATCTGCGACCAGAGGAAATGGAAGGTACAGAAAAATCTAAATCTTAATCCAAATCCTCATTTCATCATCTCTCCACTGTTTTCTTCCTGAACTGCTTTTCTCCCAACCCTTGTGTTTGCCTGTGACAAATTGTTTAGCTGCATATGGCAGAAAATAATCTTTATTTATCCTCTCTCTGAATGTCAGTGTAAACCAAGTTATTTTCTTTCTCACTAGAATTTACTAAAATCAAAGTGAAGGATTATTTTTTTCAGAGCACAAAACTGAATAAATGGCCACTATCATTTGTCATCTTCACTCCTCTAAAAGGAGGTTTGAACTCTTTTCCAAAAGCTATTCTTAAAGAGAGAGTTCACCCAAAAATGAAAATTCACTCATTATCTGCTCTCCACTATGCAGATGGATGGGTGGGTGAAACAAATGCACATGCTGTCTGGACCAAGGTCTATTGTTTACCAATAATTCATAGATTTGGGGTTGCCCTATTGGATTAGTAGATTAACAAATGTACTTTAAAAGTCATCCAACAATGTAGCATTACTGGAAGTTTAAAGTAAATTTCATTAAATCACAATCATCCACACCCACAGATGTTACCTTCCCTCTCTAGTTTCTGTTTTTCAACTACCTGACATGATCATGCAAAGGACTGGCAATTTTTCGAGATAGACAGAATAAAGCGTAAGGATATATTAAAATTGTCTCTTTAATCCATGAAGTTAGTAATAGCTGAGTAGGTAGCAGGTGAAGAGCTGTTGAAAAACAGATTGACACTGCATCAGTCACAGACATGCTTCAGAGACATGTGCAGAAACATCGTGCTTTGTGTTGTCTTTTTTGAATGCATCTTCCACCTGTTTGCACAAAATGCTACATAGACGGGCAAAGTTTTAAGGTCAGGAAATTACCAAACTGTCGGAGCATTGCTTAGGCTCATTGTGGCAGACCTCTATTCCCCCTCCACACTCACACTCATGGATCCAGAGCACTAAATTGAACACATAGATAAGACCCATTTTCATCAGGACTGCATGTCTCATGTTCATACAAAAACTTAATTTGAAGGATGCTATATTCACATAAAAAGTCTACACTAGGGGTTAGTTGTATAAGATGTGTACAGTTTACATTTGGACCATCAAACTGCCCTTGTTTTCTCACTTATTCACTCTTATTTACACATCCACAGAGCTGCGTGAGGCCTTCAGGGAGTTTGACAAAGACAAGGATGGCTTCATCAGCTGTAAGGACCTTGGGGAGTGCATGAGGACTATGGGATACATGCCGACAGAGATGGAACTGATCGAACTCAGCCAGCAGATCTGTAAGTCCTTCATGAACACGCACATGCGCATAAACAGAGATATCGATTGTTTACAAGTTTTAATTGAGTTGTTCATACAGGGCCCACAATATCTGGATGCCCCAGTACATGCTGTAATATTTACATTATTAGCAATAGTAATACTATTAATAGGATAACTACTATTGATTTTACTTATGTGTATATATATGGCTATATAGAGATTTTAAGAATGCTGTTACACCCTGCATTTTGTATAAAAACATATATTCACAAATGGGAGCTGTACACCATGCCTTGCTGATGGGCACCTTGTTGGCAGTCTCAGACGGATGAGAAAGTAACTCACTGATAAATGACTGAATATATAAATGAATATATAAACGACTGAATACATAATGTATATATAATTCAGTAAAGAGCAACTGGTAAAACACATTTTTATTAGATAAATCTATTCAACAGAATCCTAAAGAATTGATTAAATAAACCTTTAGAGAATCTATCACTTTAACAACTTTTTATTACAGTGAAATGTTACCAGGTACCATTGGTCTCATCAGAATATGGTATAAAAAATTTCAAATGTTGCTCAACATGAAATCGTTGATTAAGAATCTGAAGTAATTTAATAAATAATGTCACCAAGTTTCATCTAAAAATGTGGCTGTCAACAGGCAGTAACTAGGAGGTTAACCTTGTTTGTGCAGTACAGCCTGGTGGTACTTACCTGGTGCTGAGGCTCACACTATTCCCATAATGCAGAGTTCGTAGAGCTCTGTGTATCATCAAGGCCACACTATAACCCCCATTGACTCACTGTATGTTACAAATAAGTGTCATGCATCATTTTAGTTCCGAAGATGTCTTTATGTCATTGCCCTGCAGGTGGTGGCAGAGTGGACTTTGAGGACTTTGTGGAACTGATGGGTCCAAAGATGCTGGCAGAGACTGCAGACATGATTGGAGTCAAGGAGCTGAGGGATGCCTTCAAAGAGGTCTGCATTATTACTCTGTTATACAATGCATCACACTTGGATATCCTCCACTTTCCCCTTCAATGCATTTCTTTTTTTTTTGCATTTCATTCCCTCAGTTTGACTCCGATGGCGATGGACAGATCAGCCTTGGGGAGCTCAGAGAAGCCATGAAGAAGCTGATGGGGGAGCAGCTCAACCACAGAGAGATTGACGAGATCCTGCGAGATGTGGACCTCAATGGGGACGGACAGGTGGACTTCGAAGGTGAGTTATCGAGACTTTGGGAAAGAAAGCAACAGGAAGAAAAAGATAGAGGGATATAAAGCAAAGGAATGAGGGAAAATGTCTGCAAAGACAGGAACCAGAAATTGATTTAAGGTCAAATTTAAATACAGAGGTGGTAGATAACAGAGATATTAAAAGGATGCTCAGGCAAGGCAAAGGAAGAAGAGTGAAAGAACAAATACAGGTTAAGGTGAAATCTTCCTTCCATTTTCCTTCTCCAAAGACAGCAAGATATGTTTTTCTCCCACAGAGTTTGTGCGGATGATGTCTCGCTGACTCTTCACCTCTGCTGCACTGAAGTCAACATGGACCAGTCTGCACACTTTATGTTCTTGTAATTCTTGATGTACAAACTACTTGATGTCTGTATTTTTTTCAGTTACCTCCGTCATCTCTCAAATATAAGAGAATCCCTTCAATGTGTTAACTGTTGTATGATAGTGATGTGTATTTTAATATGTAATAAGAGATTATAGAGTGGTGAGTCAGCAAGGAGATGGTTTAACCAAAGCTGTGGGGTTCATTTAAATTTGAATATACTGTATTTCAACTGAGAATCCCATGCAGCAACACTATGACTATATATAATATATTATTTAAAGGACATTACATAAGGAACTTACTGCATCAGTCTCACGTACCCCAACTTGCTGCTGTAGTTGGACCCATACCCTATCCCTAGTTTGAGCTTTAGTTGCCATGTCTGAGATTTCTGTCTCCACTGTTGTAGACAGATGGAATTTAGTTTGTTGTATTTATAACATAGAAAAATATCTAACCTTAAAAACCCAGTCAAATAAAACAAATAATATGTATAACTAGATTATCTATTAATTTATTTTTGTAATTTGGGTGAGTTGACCCTTTGAATATGCAATCGATGACACTTGGATCTGAAATAACATGTAAGAATGTGGAGTTATCATCAGAATTTGAATAATACCACGTTTAAAGTCTTCAATTCAAACTTGAATCTAACTGTTTGACTGTGACTACATACATATATATCCAATAACCACATACACTCAGAACATATCATTTACTTTCAGCATTATATTCAACTGTGATATCTGGTATAATTAAACTGATGGAGACACAAGATTATGCTAACAGAATAATTTCTGGTGTCTGCTACACATTTGTACACATCAGGTTCATGTCCTGCTTCCTTATTCAGGTGGGAATAAATTGACAGAGGCTGTCTTGAAGTACACGTTACTTTATGCAAACACATGTACATTTAATATTTAATTTATACAGTGTTCTATAGGTCAGATCTCTAAAATGCACTGTAAATAAAAAAGGCAAATAACTGTGGCAATAAATTACTTTTTATTGACTAGATACCTTGTCTTTATTTCTTTTTTTTACATTAACTGGATTCCATTTTGTTTATGAAGCAGATTCTATAAAAGTGTTCACATTAATTTGTCTTACATTTCTTTCAACTGGGTCAGATCTCCTCTGTCTTTGCACTTTGTGAGGTTTGCCATCAGTTGCTTTTTCAAAGCACACACAGTCTCACCGTAGTCAACACTAATAGGAGCCATGGATGGTGTTCTGTTCCAAACCTGAGGAATGTACCAGCTGCAAGAGTCTGGATCCAACTCCATTACATCGGAGATCTTAGCGATGTTGGCAGTCTTCAAACAAGATTCTTCCCGGATTATTTCATTGAGCTGTTTTCCCAACTCTTTTGCTCTCTTCTTCCCACACTCTCGAGAAAAGTGCTCCAGGTGTAAAGAATAAACAGAAATTTGCTTGTCAATCTCGGCAACTTTCTGTTTCTTGGGGAGATTTTTGAAGGTTTGTATCAAGAGATGACAGCTGGGGGTGCAACAGATTGCCTACTTCTTTTTCCAACCATTTGAGGAAGTAGTAGAGCTGCACCTCTGAGGTGACAACACCATGGAGTAAGCTCAGCACTGCAGGTGTCATCTCAAATTTTAGCTGCTTCTTTTTGAGCTTTTTGTCTTGCTTTTAAAAACCTGAGGTAGATTTCAATGTTGCTGAATGATTGCTCAGTTTCTGCATTCTCCAGCTCTCTGTTTTCCTGCAAAGGCAGTTGTTTGTCTTTTAATTTAAAGGTGTGATGTGTTTGGTGACTTTGTTCACATTCTCCCACGCACTTTGGCATCCATCACCATCTTCATCTACCAGGATCCCACAGCAGCAAGCTGTGTCAGCCTGATGTGCGACTGTCACTTTGTTTTGGCAGTTTTTAAACATCTTACAGATTGATCAGCCTTTTTCTTTTTGCTTACTTTTGTTTTCTTTAAAAAATGGTGCCTTTGTCTTTCCCAGCACACTACTAATCAAATGACATCTGAATTCAGATCTTTTTCCTCCAGACACTTGAAATAGTGAGTTTCTGATTCATCAAAGAAGATGTAAACAGCAGTAGATGTCTGACTGGGGAATGAAAATTGCTTTTCAAAGGCCCTGATGTCTCCGCTGAGGTTTGCGACAGTCAGCAGCTCAGTGAATTTGTCAATGCTCCCCCCTCCCACATGGGGGATATCAGCTGATTTCAACAAGCCCACCTGAAATCTTCCTGGGGACATCACCATGCTACGATATTAAAATCTGTTGTGGTACTGCTCAGCGTTACTGAGGAGTTTGTTCAACATCTTAGACTGGGACAGGACTGTCCTCCCCAGTCTGACGAATAACACCAGAGGGATATCAGTGTGCACAAGTCTTTCCTCGCAGTTTACCTTTTGGACTGCATCCTTGGAAGAAAATACGTTTGGTAAATACGTTTTTTTGTAATTTTTTTGTGAGGGGCCTATATAGCTGTTTTCAGCCAAGCATGAACTCCAGAGATTCTCAGCACCTTCTCTGGAGGAGGTACATGTGTGAACACAAATGTCCGAGTGATACCTCTGGATTATCTTCACCTGTTCACCTAGTACAAAGTCAGTAGAAATTCAGGAGAAGTCGATGTGAGAACACAGCAGGGGATCCCCACTGGATTCAAGTGGGGGGTTGGGGTTATGGGGGGTTGATGACGCTTGTCACACGCGACAGACACAAAAAAGAATCGCAGGTTATGTCTGAAAATGGCTCAGGTTTCAACTTTTCCCAGTACTAATCTCTGCCTCTCTACTGGATTCACTTATACATACTTTCTTACAAGTCTCTGAACATGTACATTGATATTAAAAGTAACAGTTATGTTTCTTCAACATTTAGTTTGCCTGTTATAAAGTGAGAGACAAGCATACTGCACCTTTGAGACCTTGTAGCAGTCCTTGGTGTTTATTACTAACCGTTCTTTCCCTGGACTTGTAACAGTGATAAGAAATGGAGTTGGAATTGTCTCAGTGTTGTTTCCTTTGGTCCATTAAAAGGACAGAGCTGTGGCCTCTGAATGTCCTTTTGTTAAGTGTTGAGGGGGCGGCATGCCTGCAAGACAGCAATCATTTGAAATAGATGTGAAAACACTGCAGTGAACAGAATATGAAATGTCTTGGCATGTCTCATATTACAGATTAAAACAGATGCAGTGATTCATTCACTTAAATCGCCCTTCTCCTCCTCTGTGGCCACACTGAAGAAATACATTTGTCCAAATTGAAGGGTGTTTATTTCAATTTTATGAAAAATCTTTGATGACCGAGCAACCTTCACACAGGAGCTCCAATTCAGCTGGAAGCTCTCAGGCCTCTCCAGTCCTTTTGGACAACCCCAGCTCAGGACCAGTTTGGATTTACTGACAGGAACTCAATCTCACCAGGGGGGGGCATCACTGGCAAACGTAAGACATCAGAAAAAATCCTTCATGCCACTCGAGTATTCAGTTTAGACCCAATAATCAAACATAGTCAAGGTAAGAAACACATGTCTTTATTGTGTGAATTCTTGTGTCTCTGGCTCTACTGCTCTCCCCATGAAGACAGCAATTTTCCAAACATCGGTGTGGGTAATTCCACATTTGAATTCAGTTCATTTCTTTGAATTATATTTGTATATGCATGTATCAATGATTCACTTTAAAACAGTTTTGTTTGTTTAGTGAATCTGTGTCCAGTAAAACTACAGTCTTAAGCAATTGCTGGTTCAAGTCTGTAAATGTTAGAGAACAAAGCATAAATAGTGATATAATAATAGTGGTATTACAATATTTTAACACTTTATATTTTAGTAATTATGAAGAGACAGGATTTCTAAAATAGTTCTAATGTCTTCAATACTATAACGCAAAAATGTTGTGTGTAAATTTTCATGCCGACCTTGAAATGCAAATAAATCTTTTATTCGTTTTCTAATGAGATCAGGAACTCTGATAAAAGAAATAAAGATGAGTCATATTAAGTCAAAACTGAAGCGAAGAGGGCTGTCCTTCGAAGACAAGTCCGTCTCGTAGGCAGGATAGTCACAGTCCCATCTGAAAGAATCATAATAGCAACTGATCTTTCATTAAGGCTTCAACTAGCCACAGCATACATGTCAAGCTTAGACTCACTGCTGTTGTTTGCTATATTAGTTTAAATTTAAATTTAAAGAAGCAATATTCTACTTTTTTCTAACCTTAGATTCATCAAAACATCATAACAACATAATGTATGGATTTAAGTTGGTTTTACCTGCTCTAATGTAAGGCGCAACCATTTGCACGTCTAAAGACCAGAGGTATTTCGATCGACTGCTCGGACCTTGTGCTCAAATATTCACACAGGGTGTCTTCAGTCTAAATTGATTAATTTAGCAGTTTTTAATAACAACAATTATCCCAGTAATTGATATATGCATTTTGTCACATAATAACAACATTTAGACCATTGGTTCAGCACTTAATACAAGTTGATCCATATCTATTAGCAGGTCCTCTGCAAAAGAATCTTTCATTTATAATATAAAAATGTAAAATGTAGAGACAATTCTTAATCGGGTTAATGGTAAGCAAACTTGCTTTACTCTGGAAGGCCTTGAAGATGGTCTTAGATCTCTTGGGACACTTCAAGGGCCAATTAGATTTCAGCAGGGATGAGTGCCTCACTGGCACTCTTGTATAAGAATGAATGGGTCAATATCTCAATGCAGAGGAGATTTATTTGCATGGGAATCACACTGAGGAAAAAAGTCAACCCCAGTCAACTCAGGATTCAATCTGAGAACCTTCTGAGGTAAGACAGCTGATCACTGTACCACCTAGCTGCCCAACCTTAAAAACAACTGCCATACAAACCCTCTAAAGATTGTATATTGTATAATATATATATATACAATAGCTTCATGTGCAATTTCCAGAGTTCTTCAACATACTGTTGAACTCTGAGAGTGACTTATTTCACAAATTGTACAAAGTCGGTTATTTAATGAGCAATCAGTTGATTGTATGTTTGAAAATGTAAAATGTTTATTTAGAATATGTTTTACAAAAGGAATTGAATTGTAAGCACAGCACAGTCTTTTTCCACATGTACATTTCAATAGTGAAAGCACCAATTAAATGGATATTAATGATGCAGTGGAAATAGAGTAGTCTATGTTTATGGCTGAATCAGTGTATGCCAATTGTGCAGTATGTGCTAGCAACAACAACTGTCAGTAAAGTAACAATTTAAGACTACAGCACATGGGTTATGCATTCATTAGTCATAGAGTCAAGTGATTACAATAAGTGCAGTATGTCAGTCAAATCAACTTGAGTTATTCTGAAAGTGTATTTTTCCATACATGGTTATCTGTTAACTATATATCAATCATCATGGATTGAATTATTTAAGTAAATATCAAATCATCACAGACAAATTACTTATAATTACAAGTTACACTGCATTACCATTAAACAGTTTCCACAGTGTCTACAAATATCTGTGGAAACCTCAGTCACCCTTTAACCAAACAACTGGCGTCAACCTGTGTCTGCTCCACTTTTATCAGCTGGGTCTTCTGCTAAATCCAATTTAATGTTGCATTACTCACTGCGCAACAGTCCATTTGAAGATTTAGCTGTGAGCAACAGCTAAATTGCTGTGTAAAATGGTCATATGATATCGATTTCTAAGCAAACACTGACTACGTTTACATGGGCACCAATATTCTGACATTAACTTGATTAAGACAGCAGTCTTAATCAAACAATGCCATTAATAGCATTTTCTGATTGCATAATAAGATAATACAAAGGGGCATAGCATTAATCTAATTAAGAGTGTATTCCAACCTTGGTCACATCATGTAGACATACAGGAATTCTCAGAAATTGACATTCGACAGTTGCCAGCTGTTTGAAGACGACAGGGTGGCTGAGACTACGAAGAAGGAGAGAAAAAAGTAGTATGCTATGCATTTTAAGAGAAATGGATATTATGAAGTGTTTGCATATTTTCAAAAAGGTTGTGGGAAAGTCTGATGTATGGCGTAATGGACATAATGTCAATGTCAAAGTTAAAGTCAAAATCACAATAAGCTCTGTAACACCTAAACATGAATATAAATGAAATATTATTAACTCAACTCATCTAAACATTATAATCAAATAATTGTCATATTCTGAATGAGGTCAATAGTTGGAATATTGGTGTCCATGTAACCTAGTCACTGTGTCTAATATTGCCATTATTTAAAATGTAATGAAAGCAGTCTCTAATGTTTATTCTCTCTACACTACACTGATAGCGATTATCAAGATTACATTTATTACAGTCTGGCATGTAGCCAACATTAACCAATGCATTGCCCATACAGGAAAAACACTACATTTCACAGATCCAGTTTTGTTCCAAAGCACAGTTCTCGTCATTCCATTCGCCTTTCCCTGACGCACGGTGCCAGAACTCCACACAGTCCTGGTCCCCACCTTTAAAGCTGTTGGGCTGGCCTGCACCCCAGAACCTGTAGGACAAGGAGAGACAGCCACAAAAAGAATGAATGCTTCCCTGTCACTGGCTACAAGAAATCAATATAACCTAGATTTAGTTTTATATATTAAGAGATGTGTGTCGACTTTCTTACGCTAAGGTCATTGGTGTCCCGTCCACCCATTTCCAGTCGTCCTCTACTCCTTCATCAGTCAATCCAATCCAGACTTCTTTGTCACTTCCAAACAAGCCATTGATGAAGGTCTATGTGGGAAGCATTGTGCATCAAAAAGTTATTGAGGTTGTTATGTTCTCCACAAATGAAGAAATGAAAAAAAACCCTGACTGTTTTACTAACATGTCAGTCATACAGTTATACAGAGCAGCCAAGAACCAGATATGCCCTCAACTGAGACATAAAACAAATGTTATCTTATTCCATTGCTATCAGCTGATCAAATACAATGTATGAAGGCAGTAAGTAAACAATTTATTTTCTATCAAATACAAAGCTGAGCTAATATTGTACTCTTATTTGGTCAATAGTTCAGTGTCAAATAAAATTTATAAGTATTACAGAATTTATCAAATGTACTGAGAACCACAAGTGAAGTATTCACATTTAGTGAACTGATATCCATAAGTGTGTGAAATGTGGTGCAACTCTGCTGAATTTAAGGGGACTGTAGGCTGAGATACAGTATGTGCTCTGGTTATTTGTGGATTCATCCTATGAGCAAACCCTTTCACATACTCCAATGGTCCATTGATCCTATATGAATTATTATAATTAGTGGAGCTGTAATGATGTAAAATACCCTCACATGAATATGGGGACATTTTAGCATATGGCAGTGCAGATGATCCACATCATGGATTAAGATAACAACTAGATTGCTTAGAAAATACAATATGCCTATATTACTATCAATGGAATATGACAATCCCTCCATCATTACAATTGTCATTACTGTTCCCTTCATTTCTGTGAGATATTTTCTTTTGTGGAAAAGAAAGATGTTTTTTTTTTCCTGTTGAAAGGGTAGTTTTTGGTAGTTCCTCCTAACTTGTTGAGAGTTAAAGGTCCAGTGTTTAAGGTAAAAGGGATTTTAATCCTGTTGAGGTTTTCACTAGTGTGTTTCATCTTAACTGTATGAATTGTTGTTTCCTTTACTCTAGATGGGTCCTTTATATTTAAATACTTTATATTATCATCAGGTATACATGTTTTTACAGTCATCCAAACTAGAGAAACGAGAGAAAGCTTTTGAGTTTGTATGACAACTGAAGGCTACTACAGGTGAGGGTGAGGTGAGGGGTATTCAGCCGCAATATGCAACTTCACCACTAGCTATCACTGAATTCTATACACTGAACCTTTAAGGGCAGATGATGTTGCACCTTGTTAAATCCTATGAGACAAACTGATTTGTGAATATGGACTATACAAATTAAATTTGATTGGTTGATTGATTAATGATACTCATGTACAAACGCACCATTTCACTTTTGCTTTTGATGATTGCCAGGTCTGCTCCTTTGCTTTGACAGTAGTCTCTGCTTTTCTTCCAGCTTTTCTTGCTAGAAGAAGTGTAATAGCAGCTGTTCTCGAACTTCTGCCAGCCAGTGAGACACTTCTTATCTGTTCATGTGAAGCATTGATTCAACAATTATCAAGCAGTGAGACAAAAGTGTACATACGCTGAGATGAACGACATTGTTAAAGTGATTGTTGGTGGTTCGATTTCTTTTTCATCAGATGTTCTGGAGCTTTCATACGTTTCCAATGTAACATGAAGGCCTTGTGCATTATTCCAGGTAAGAAATTATCTTGTTAAATGACACATCACAGTCCTTTCCACGTACCTTGCATCGTCTTGTTCAGTTTGTCAGCTAGGACCTGAAGATCATCTCTCTCGGCCGTCAGGTTGCTGATTTTCACCATCAGCAGTTCTCTCTCTGCAGTCACATTATCACAGCTGCTTTCAAGCTCTTTTTTTTCCTGAGCCAACAACACATAATTAGCCCGCAATATGTCTGTTGCTTTTTTAAGAGAGTTGAAATTTCTCTGTATAGTGTCTATTTCTGCGGTTAGGTTTTGGTGATTGTTTTCTAGCTTGTCCTTTTCACTGGTAGATGTGTTGTATCTGTCCTGTAAATATTCTATGTCTTTAATCAAGTCATTGTAACTCATCTGCAGTTTCTCTTTAGCTCTGGTAACATTATTGAATTTGTTGTGAAAATTGTCCCTCTCCCTGGTCAATGAGTCATGACCGCTCTGTAACTCATCTTTACGTTTGACCACTGTGTCATATTGTTTCTGTAACAAGTCTTTGGCTGCAAGCAAGACATTGTTATTGGTATGCATTCGGCTTTTATTGGCCCTCAGCTGTTCGATGTCTTTGTTCAAATTATTGTTTGTGGCCTGTAGCTGGCTTTGGCTGAGCTTTAGTTTGTTCAGTTCTTCACTAAGCATATTGTTATTTGTTTGTATTTGCTCTTTCCTTTGAGATAATACATTGTTATCTTGCTCTAACTGGTTTCGTTTGACTTCAAGATCCCTTTTGTCTTTCTGCACTGACTCTAGGCTGTCCTGCAGGTTCTCTTTCTCTTTGTCCATGGCTTTTACATTGTCTTGATGTTCTTGTTTTACTTTTTGACCTGCCAGAGAGGAGAGATTGTATGTTGTTAATCAATAAATTCACCAACACATTTTGGCAACTTTTTAAAACATAAGAAATAGGTGGACTCACTGTGGATACTCTGACCTATGATACCCGCCAACAGGAGAACACAGAGGAGCCCGAGGCAAACCGTGGCAACCCTGTAAGGCTGGTTCCTCCACACAAACGCTGAGTGAGAGAAGCAACCAGAACAGAAACTTGAATTTCATGAAGTGATCTAGGGAACTTGTGGTTTTGCTTAATCTGGATTAAATCTGACTGGGATTGCAAAATACTGTGCAGAAGATGAATTTCCTGCAAAATTTGTCAACAAAAACTGTTGTAAGTA